AATAATTAATGTATTAAACACCTACTACTATGTTTTATTGAAGCTAAAACACCATTGCTCTTAAGATGCACCATTATTTTAAGTATTAATGGGAAAAAAAACCCTGAAAATAAACAATATGCCATTGATCATAAGATGCAGGTCAATTTTAGAGAGATTAAAATGTGAAAAAATGTGTCTTAGAAACAAGAATACGTGTTATGTCAGACATTGGGCTGGGTATATACAGTTATCTCTAACTCTGCAACAAATCGCAGTATTATTGTGATCGTATTACAGATGAGAAAAATGAGGCTTAAAAGGGTCCCATAGTGAAATCATTTGCCAAGAATGTTTTCATTAATCAAGAAGGAAAGTTGGAGGTTTGAAGATCAGATATCATCAATGCCAACTGATAATGCTGCTGTGTTATTCCCACGACCTACCAGCACCTTCCTGGGACACCAGGATTGGGTTTGCAAAGCTGAAATTTCAAGGAATTGATGGAAGGGTGCCAGTGGTGGAGTCTGTAGCTTAATTTGACTCAACACAGAAAATCTCACTCAAGTCTGTCAACTTGGATGGACCTTTGAGTGGTCAAGGTCTAAGACGACTGCATGTCCCAGTTTACCAGGGAGAGTCCTAGTTCACGCCCGTGTCCCACTTCTCCTTCCGGTTAAGCATTTGTTCCCGAAAAAAGTGCTCCGATGGCCGTGCTAAGGGTACATGCTCTGCTCACAACTAAAATGTGTCTCCTCTGCAAGTACGAAGTTCTTTTTGGGGAGGCCTAGGATGATCACTTGGGTTCCTTGGTTGCCATTACAAATCAATGCAGGCTAACTTTAGCAAAGAAGCAATATTTTTTGGGAAGAAGTAGCTTACGGAATGGAGGGTAAAACTGAAAGAATCAGGCCTTAGAAAATAAGCTATAGGGCCAAGTGTGGAGATCTAGCAGGCAGGGGGTAATGGTCTGGAAGTTCACTTCACGGCCCTACTGTTGAGCTAAACAATAACTGGAGTCCAGATTCAGTTTTCTAGGATAAATTCTCTGATCGGTCTAATTTGGGTCTTGTGCCCATCCCCTTACCACTTTGATTGACAGTTCCTCCAAGACCACAGAGAGGAGCGTTTCCCCAAAGGAAAATCAGTATTGGAAGCAGAAAATGGGGGAAAGGATTCTGGGAAGGCAAAAACAACAGATTCTCACCCAGAGAGAGAATTCCCTTTGCAGAGGAAGAGGAAAAGGGCCCTGAAAATAAGAGGGAAGTGTTAAAACTTTTCTGAGGGTTTGGTTGCAATCCTCTATCAAAACTGGATTACAGCCTTGTGGCAAGTGTAAACTTGCCAGGAGGCCAATTCAAAGATCCATACTTGGTAGGGATATTTTCGAAAAATTTATTTTTTTATTACAGTATCACCTACATAGAGTAAATTGCACAATCTTAAATTGTACAGCTTGGGGGCCAGCCCAGTGGCACAGTGGTGAAGTTCGCATGCTCCACTTCTCAGCGTCCTGGGGTTTGCCGTCCCGGATCCCGGGTGTGGACATGGCACTGCTCATCAGCCAGGCTGTGGTAGGCGTCCCACATATAAAGCAGAGGAAGATGGGCACGGATGTTAGCTCAGGGCCAGTCTTCCTCAGCAAAAAGAGGAGGATTGGTGGCAGATGTTAGCTCAGGGCTAATCTTCCTCAATAAATAAATAAATAAATAAATAAATAAATAAATAAATAAATAAATAAATAAATAAATAAAATTAAATTCCTTCCGGATCATTAAAAAAAAAATTGTACAGCTTGATGAATTTTCGAACATTTGCAGAAAAGCTCCCTCAGGGCCCCTCCCAGGCAGTACACCCCCACCCACCCCACCCCGCACGAGGGTAACCACTTTTCTGACCTCTGTCTTGAAAGGGACATTTTATAGGGCAAGCGAAGGATTAAATAAAAAAGAAAAGAAAAGTTCACTAGGCTCTTGACTGACAAACGACAGTCAACTGGGTGGGTAGAAAACTAGTTTCCCAGTTCAAATCTCAATGTTATTAAATTTCATAAGAATGCTTAAGCATTTTACCAGGAACGTTAATTTCTTTCCAGAAGGAGGTTCGTGTTCCTGGAGGAAAGGTCTGGTCTTGGACCAGGTTTGTGATCATTTTCCTTTTATGGGGGCAAGGGAGTGAAGAATGGAGGGGATCCAGGACTGAGCCGCTCCGCCCATCCTCACTGCCCACAGCTGAGGGCTTATGATATACACAGACACCCTTCACCTGACAGCCCCTAGACTGGGGGTAGGGGCCAAGTGGGCAGTTTTGATCTGTGGTGCTTGCCCATCCCCACTCCACCTGCACCAGAGCAGGGAGTGGGGCGGACAGAGAAGTAGACACACTAAGGGATAATCATGGTTTCAGCCCTTCCCTCTATCCCCCAGGCTAAAGCTGCTGGAACCCTGTGGGTCCAAGAGTTCTAATGCAACATTCTGCTTCTCCTACTTATTAGTTCCATATCTGATTGCCACAAGACAGCTGTGGAATGGGGCTGCAAGACTGCAAGAAACTCTCAAAAGAAGGCCCTGGGCTCTGCCTTCCAGAATCAGCCTGCATCCCTGCTGGTTCCCTGTTAATTATCCCCGTCAGCATGTTTTAGTAGGCACAGACCTGAATTGCTCCAGAATGTTCTGGTAGAAATATCGCTAGCTTCATTTGAGCCCTTACCGTGCAAGGCAGGTTTATCGGTTACAATTGACAGCTCCCAAGTAGCACTAGCTTTAGCAGAAAAGGGGAATTTATTCCAATGATAAAGGGATGTCTCTAAGAATGCTAAGTCCTAATGGGCCCTGGGAATAGTCTGGAGCTGGGAGCCAGAAAACCATCAGGATTTCTCTACGACTCTCTGTTCTTTTCATTTGATCATTCTTTCTTTTTCCATACACTGGCTTTCTCTACTTCTCCAATCCATCTCACAGAATATGGCCACCCAATTTCCCCTTTTTCCCTAGATCCAGTCAGTCTCAGAGAGTAACTCCAACACTTAATACAGTCAAATTAACAACTCAGAAACTCACCATGTCTCAGTTTAGATTCTCAAAAGAAAATCTGATTGATCCACCCTGAGTCCTATGTCTCATAGAGCCCGCTGGCCATGGTATGGGGCAGGGATGCACAGCACAAATGTGTCTGCCAGGGACCCATTCTCTGGGCTAGTCAAACAATTCCTAGAGAAGTGGGATTAGGCAGAGATGCCAGTAATTATTCTTCACCGTTGGGATATTTCTTTTTGGAAAACACAGCACACAACTCACAAACAAATACAGACCCCGGTACTAAAACACTGTAACCAGAGCAATGCATCTATTGATCTCAAGAACTATTCCTCATTTAGCTTTGAATCCCCTTCAGTGACTGGTGGTGTCTTCAATAGATGGCTGCTTCTGTATTTTTTAAAAATTCCTTTAAAAGCAACAAACTCTCCTAGCACAATGAAATCTTTGCGTATCAATACTTTTGTTAAAGATAAATGGAGAAAAAACTGGCTTAAGGAGGAACTGAAGAGAAGGAGAAATGTGGAATGCCCCAATGTCAGGGTGTGTGTCTACTGGATATTAACCAGAAACTTGAATATAACAATTTAACTTAAGATAAACAATTTAAACACACATATTCATAGCATAGGATAAACTGGATCTGTATGTGTTGTAATAGACCTCGAAAACATAATGTTGGAGGCGAAAAGCAAGTTGCAGAATGATATTGCTACAATGTAGTAATGTTTATGTAAATGAAAAATATACAGAAGACACACAGAAATGTATATATAGATATGAAAGTGTAAGAGATGGATTGGAAGGATACACATCAAATTCATGATAAATAGTTATAGCCAGGGAGGATGTTTGGGAAGGGGAATTTATTTTTATTTGTAACGGTCCATTTATTTTTTAATGGATTTTTAAAAGGACGACATATTCACCATTACCTGTGTAAATTTTAACAAAAAAGTATATACATAGGAAAAGAATTGTAAGTGAAATGCCTCAATATTAGGTGGTAGGAATATGGATGATTATTCTTTCTTTGCATTTTTAAATATCTATATACGTCCATATGGATAGATATTTGAAATATGTAGTTGGGTAAAAGTCATTGCAGATCAATACTAATAGCACGATAACATGTAAAAACTCATACACAATAAAAACAAAACCTCTATTTTCTATGCGTACATATATCCATATGAATATATCCATATAAATTCACAGCAAAAGATCCAGAAGGATATATACGAAGCTGATGATAAGGGTTACCTCTGCGGAGGGGACTTAGCATGGGGGTCAAAGGTAAAAAGGCATTTGTACTTTATCTGCAAAGTTTTAATATTTTGCAAAATTTCACGTATTATTTGTGTAATTAAAAATTAAAACAACTTTTCACAGAGAAGGGCACAAACCAGCTCCCTGCTTTGGCTTCGGAGCCCGTGGTGCGGATTTCTTCCAGAATTCGTCATTTCTCCCGGAGATACGTAACCCGAGGAGCGTGGCTTAACCTGAGGTCTCCGAGTTTAAACACCCGACTCAGAACACAGACTCAAACTGCTTTTCCCTTTAATCTATCTGGAACAACTCTGCATCTAAAGATTGGCGCAAATATTTTCTTTTAAATAGCTCTATCAAGATCAGGTAAAGCACATATTAAACAAAGAAACTCCGAGGAAAATGCGCTGCAAGTGCATTTAAGCGTATGAAGTAGGTCTCTGGAAGACTTCTCCTCCAGCCGGGTAGCGTGGCCGAGCGGTCTAAGGCGCTGGATTAAGGCTCCAGTCTCTTCGGGGGCGTGGGTTCGAATCCCACCGCTGCCAAGGTCAGCTTTTTGTGTGGTTCGCTTCCGCGCGGGGCTGTTTTTGGCTCTCTTTTGAGGGTGCGTGGGCGCCCCCTGCTGCCCGCCGGGCTAGCGGCCTGCATGAATGGAGCGGCGGAGGGGGCGGGTCCGTGTGCGCCGGGGCGGGGCATTGTGGGTAAAAGGAAGCGCGAGGGCCGGCCCGCTCCCCCCACGTGTCCGCCTGAGTTTCTCCACCAGCAACATGGCCGCTGCCTGAGAGGAGAGCCGGGCCGCCGCCGCCTCTGCAGCCCGCGGCTACCTGGGCCGTTGCCGCCGCCCGCTCGCGGGCCCAGCGGAGAGGTGAGTGCCGAGTTGGCAGCGCCCGCCTGGTCTTGAGCCGGCCCGCACTCCCGAGGTGGGCCTGGGCTGGGCTGCCGAGTAGGCCGGGAGGCCCGCGCCGTGCCCCGGGGCTGAGGGCCTCCGGCACTCGGGCGGGAAGGATGGGCAGCCTGCCCTGGTAGACCCTGGCCGGCCGCGGGCTCCGACCTGGCCCCGGCCCCGGAGTGGTGGGGGCCGCGGCCGATGCTGCCGGCGGTGACTCAGGGTCCAGCCGCCTTGCCCCTCCCGGCCCAGATGGGCCTTCTACGGGAGCACCTGTCCCAAGGCAGCCGGTGTCCGGCCGGCGCGGAGGCTTGTGGCGATGGCTGCGTGGTGGGCGTGAGAAGGGGGCCTGCCCACCCGCCAGGGAGGCAAAACCATTGGACAGTGTGGCTCGGGGCCGGCGGCCCGCCCGCCCTGATGGGCAGGGAGAAGGTACCAGGCCTGCCTGGGTCCCCTGCTCGCCGCTGAACCAGATCAGCCTCCGCCCGGCCAGGCCCGGAATTCTTCGTTCATTTGTTGAAGCCACCATTCAGTGATGATTGGGAGCCAACTCTATGCCGCGGATGCGACCCTGACCATTTGGTCAGAGGAGGGGTCAGTAAGCACGTCAAGTAAACCAGTAAAGAAACAAGGTCGTTCTGTTCTTAGTTTTAGAATCAGTAGGCTTGGGGGCAGGAAGAGGAGATCTTACCACACGCCGCAGTTTCTTCGTCTGTGAAATGGGGATAATAGAATTTCCTATCTCATAGGGTTGTGGTGAGGGCTAAATCGGGTAAGACGGGAGAAGCTCCAGCTTGCAGCGTTTGATTTGTGGCTAAATCTCATATCCTCTTAGATTAGAAGAAAACGTGTTGCCAAGTAATAACAAACACTCTCGCAGGTTACGTTGATCACGTAGTTAATCCTCACCGCAGTTTTCTGGAGGTCGGTACTTTATAATCCCCTTTTTAGGGATGAAAATAGCGAACGATAACGGACATTTAAACAGTGCCAGGTGGGCTGTGGATGGTGAGTAGCAAGCGTGGGATTTGAACCTCTGCAGTTCTGCTCTAGAGTCCAGGCTTTTACCCACTATACCATACTGCCTTTTATTGGAAGTGTGTGCAGCATAGTGGTTAAGAATGAGAATAAGGATCTTTGACAGCAAGACCCCGCTTTCTGTCCTGGCTCTGCCATTCTCTAGCGCTGTCACCTTGGGCAAGTTACTTACTCTTTGAACCTTAGTTTCCTCATTTCTTAATTTCGGATGATAAATCTTGATTTATAGGGCTATTGAGAAGGTTAAATGAGAATGTATTTCAAGTCCATAGAGAAGGATCTGACACTCAGTTAAGGGTTAATTAGTTCTTGTCCCCTAGGCCAAGTCTTCCTTTAGCAGAGGTGGAAACTGAGGTGACCCAGAGAGGGGGAGATACCTTGTCCAGGGGATACAGCCAGTTAGAGGCCAGGCCTTGAGACCGTTTGCCCTGGGGCCCTCTCCCCTTAACTCCGTTGTATTTTATCCCCTCAGACCTCGCTCACTCCCTCCAACAGCTGGAGATCATTTGGAGTTGCCTCTGCTTTTCTAATTGACAGATTAGATTCCTGGGTGCTCTGAACCCCTCCTTAGCTCCACCTGGTGTCCTTGTCCCCTTTCCATTTATTGAGCAGCTCCCTGTTGAGGGAAGTTTCCTGTGCCTAAGGCCATGGAGCCACTGCCACAGAGTCTGCTTGTGGCCACAAGACCCCCTGTTGAGGCTCAGGTAGTCACTGCTGTCAGGGGAGCTTGGCTTGTGGTGGCTGGGAGGCCTGCTCTGGCCTGGGCCACAGCCTCTGTCTGTTCTCCAGTGTCCATGCGGCTCAGTCTCTTGGCCCCCACTCTGTTGATGGGGCAGAGGTAGGCTCACGGGGTTGAGGTTGTGTGACCCCCTGATTTCAGACGCTCGTTCACTGAATCTTTGTACTATATTGAGGGTCTACTTTATGCGAGGCACTGTTCTAGGAATGGGAAAATAGCGTGAGTTTAAAAAGAAAAGATGATCATCCCCATAACAAATCCCCATAAAAATCTCCACTTTTTTTGAGGAAACTGAATCATCTAGAGACCCTCATAGAGCTCAGATTCTAGTGCAGAAGACAGACAATGCATAAGGAGACAGGCTAGGTAGTTCCAGATCGTGATAAGAAGGAAGTAAAATTGGGAGATGTGGTAGTGACTGGGAAGGGGTTGGAGGTGGGCGAGGGGCTCTTTTAGATGGGGCGGTCAAGGAATCTTAGCTCCTTCTGGAGGGGGTGGTGGTGATGTCTAATGAGAAGGAGCCAGCCTTGAAAAGACCTGGGGAAAATGGATGACGTGGAAAGGTCATGAGGGAGGCCGGAGCTTGGCCTGTTGGAAGCCCAGCAAGTGGTCACCTGGCCAAGGGGATGATGAGGGAAAGGTGGGGCAGGATCATGTAGGGCCTTGGGGCCATGAAAGAGAGTTGGGATTTTTTTGCATGTGACAGTTGAAGAGTTTTGAGCAGGGTAATGATGTGATTTACTTTTTTACAAGAATAACTTGGGCCGTTTCTGGGAGGATTGGAGGTAGGAAAGAGGGGCCACAGGAAGACTTGTTGGAGCAGTACCTTTCAAATTGCAGGTCAAGATTTATTAGTGGGATGTGAAATCAACTTGGGATTTTAATCAGCTTTTTTTTTTGTTTGTTTGTTTTTTACTGAGGAAGATTGACCCTGAGCTAACATCTATGCCAGTCTCCCTCTATTTTGTATGTGGGTCACAGCCACAGCATGGCTACTAATGAGTGGTGTAGGTCCACACCCAGGAACCACACCTGGGCTGCTGGAGCAGAGCGCACTGAACTTAACCACTAGGCCACTGGACTGGCCCTGTAACCAGCATTTTTAATTTTAATGAGCAAGAGTAGAAAACGTCACTGCATCACATCTACTGAAGACAATTATGGCTGTATGAAACCTTGTTTTAGTTATGTAATTGTATATATGTTCTGGGTTGTTTATATGAAATGGAATTTTTTTTTTGTTTTTAAAGATATGGTTTTTTTTTTTTTTTTTTTTTTGGTTAGGAAGATTGGCCCTGAGCTAACATCTGTTGCCAGTCTTCCTCTTTTTTTTTTTTTAATCTCCAAAGCCCCAGTACATAGTTGTATGTCCTAGTCGTAGGTCCTTCTGATTCTTCTGTGTGGGGCACCACCTCAGCGTGGCTTGATGAGTGGTGCGTAGGTCCATGCCCAGGAGCCAAACAGGTGAGCCCTGGGCCGCAGAAGTGGAGCACACAAACTTAGCCAGTATGCCACCTGGCCAGCCCCTGAAATGGGTTTCTTACTGTGGGTCTTAGGCTCAAAACTTTGAAAAGCACTAAGTTGGATGATGTTGGGTGGGAGGATGAAGCGAGGTGTTTAGCCCCTGCAGTAACCCAATCAGGTGTACCTTGGAGGGAGGGGCTCCAGCTCAAGGTACCTCATCCTCCCTGAGCTCCTCTGTGGCTGGGAGAGGCCAGCAGAGCACAAGAGCCGGGAAAGCCTGTCTGGGAGAATGATTGCAGTTTGGGAACCTCCCTGGCCACACCCTCTTAGTATAAATGATCTGTTCCCTGGCTCACCTGGAAGGCCCCAGTCTCTCAGTTGTGAACACAGCCAACTGCAGAGAAGGTAGGTGCTTGACGTACATCTGTGGTCTTGGCAGCCAGTGCAGATGGGGGGGTCTTGGGCTCCCCCATCAATTGCTCTCTGTCTGGGCCTTAGAAGGCACCTAACACTGTCCTTTCGGGACTTTTTTTTTTTTTTTGAGGAAGATTAGCCCTGAGCTAACTACTGCCAATCCTCTTTTTGCTGAAGGAAGACTGGCCCTGGGCTAACATCCATGCCCATCTTCCTCTACTTTATATGTGGGATGCCTACCACAGCATGGCTTTTGCCAAGTGATGCCATGTCCGCACCCGGGATCCGAACCAGCGAACCCCGGGCCTCCGAGAAGTGGAATGCGCGAACCTAAAACTGCCGCACCACTGGGCCGGCTCTCGGGGCTTCTGATTTTCCCCAGTCTTTCATCTCCTGGCTGTCGTGGTGGCCTACTTCCCTCTAGTCTGTCTTTTTACCCCCTCCAGATTTTCCTCTACTCAGAATCCTTTGGTAGCTCCCTATTAAATAGCATTCCTGTGATCCATTTATTTGGACAACAAATATGTATTGAGTACCTGGCACTGGGGCTACAGCAAGGGACCAAATAGATGCAAATCTCTGCTTTTTCTGTAGCTTCCAGCTAGTGGCAATGGTGGTGGGGACAGATAATAAACACAGAGCTATACACAGTCACAGGGCGATAGGTGCTATGGAGAAAACCAGAGCAGGGAAGAGAGTTGGGGGGGGGGTTGCAATTTTGAATTGGGTGGACAGGGAAGGTCTTAGCCATGAGCTGACATTTGAGCAGAAACCTTAAAGAGGAGGAGGGAGTCATGAGGTGATCAGAGGGGAGAGCCCTTACAAAGGCCCAGAGGTGGGGTGGGAGGGGAGAGAAGAGGGAAGGAGGCCTGTGGGAGATGAGCTCTGAGAGGTAAAGTGGGGGGAGGTTCATAAAGACTTTGGCTTTTGTTCTGAGTGAGATGGGAGGGAGGAGGCCTTCGAAGGCAGAGGAGTGACATGGATCTGACTTGGCTTTCCAAAGGACCAGGGGCTGTGGGCTGGAGCCCAGATTGGAGGGGCAGGGCTGGAAGCGGGGAGAGCAGTGAGGAGGCTGTTGCGGTAATGCAGGTAAGAGATAGAACTGGACTGGACTGGGGCTGTGGCAGTGGGGGTGGCCAGTTTCCAGACGTTCTCTGGAGGTGGAACTGACTGGATTTGCTGGTGCGGGATGAGAGGAAGAGAAGCATCTAGGATGATGCCGGCATTTTGGCCTGAGCAGTCTGAGTTTGGAATGTGTATTGGGAATAAGTGAGGTGGTTTCTGGTGGTGTTGCTCAGGCAGGGGCCTTTGATGATGTTGAATCCCACCCATGGTGAAGGTATTTTGCCTTTTTAAATATTAAATAGCTCAAATGTTAAGTCGGTAAGATAAAAATCCTGGTGGTCTTACTCGAAAGTAGAGGTCCGGGCACTGCTGAGATCTGAGGGTGCCCAGGCGCCTTCACTCGCCCTCCGCGTGGAGACCTGCAGCCTTCCCTCCTCCAGCCGCTTGAAGCGCTTCCTGTCACCTGCGATCCCTTCTCCCCTCTGCTCTCCAGGCTTGTCCTAATCCTTCATGACCCGGCCCAAATGCCCCGCCCGGCCCCTTCCCTTCCCTCTTCTGAACCCCCCTACCTGGAGCTGCTCCCTGAAGTCGTATGGCCTGGCTTTGACTTCTGTTGCGTCCTCTTGTTTGCTGTGTGGCTTTGGGTAACACACGTAAAATGTCTCCACTTTCCAAATGTTCCAGTCTCCTCATTATAAAATGGGGGCAGTCAAGCCACTTACAGGGTTGTGTTGCACACATTAGAGAAAAGTATGTGAAGAGGGCCATTTTCACATACACACACACACACACACACACACACACGCAGAGACCCAGAGAGCAGAGTCATCTCACTCGAGGTTGGGCTTAAAGTCAGCTTGAAAATCAAACATCAGAGACAGGGACAGCCTGGAAGGCCATGGGACTGTCTGCTCTTCCTGTTGGACGTTGGACTCGTTAGAGCTTCCCCATGGCCCCCAGTTAGTTCTCGAGTGTTTTCATCATGGTTGTGGACCTGCCAGCCTCCTGCCTGGCGGTGCCTTCTTCTTTGTGAGTGGTCAGAGAGCCTTAAAACCAGTCATTTGTTCTTTCCCACAGGTGCAGCTGATGTGGTGACTTGGGTCCACCTATTTGTACCCATTGCTTGGTTGTTTGTCTCTTTCTTTTTTTGGCTGATGGGGTATACGGTGGGCTGAGTATTTTCGACTTCATGATAGATGTAGAAATAAGATGAGTTTCTGTTTGTCTTGGGCTCCTCTCTCCCAAGGCAGGGCCTTTTGTAGAATAGGGACTCAGAAGTGTCGGCTGAACGACTGACTGACGGTCCAGGCCTCTTGCTGTCCCTTGCAGGTCAAGTCCGAGAACTGTGCGGCTGGCTCCCCGCTTAGTATGGCCAATGAAGAGGATGACCCAGTTGTACAGGAGGTAACTGCTGGTCCCCACCCTCTGCTCGGGCTGCCAGGGGAAGTGGCTGGGCCCAGGGCTGCAGGCAGTGGGGCTGGGCCCCTTTCGTCCGTCCTCAGGCTGGCCCTGGACCTGTTGGCATCTCCTCTGCCTGGAACCCTCTTCTCCCGGATTCCTGCCTGGCTGACCTTCTCATTGCCTACAGGTCTCTGATCCAGCATCAGGTTGTCAGTGAGGCTTCCCTGACTACCCTGCCTCGTGGGCCACGCCCCTGCACACTGCCCCCAGCACTCCCAACCCCTTACCTCGGCCATGCTTTGCACTCGGCCACAGCACTCATCAGCCTAGACATCAGTCTCGTTCCACTGGAATGTAAGCTTTATGAGGGCAGGGATTTTGTTTTCTTTGTCACTGTGTCCACAAAGCCAAGTTTAGTGCCTAGCACTTAATAGATACTCAGTGACTATTTGTTGAATGAATGAATGAATGGGGTTGACAACTCCCTCTTCTTCCTGGGCTTACCCAGGTTCAGTCATTCAGCACTTGTCCTCTGGATCTACTGTGTGCCGGGGGCAGTGAGTGAGGCATGTTCCTGCCCTTGGGAAGCTTAGGATCTGCAGGGTGAGACTGACAACGAAGGAGTCTCAAGTTGCAGAGGGTGGGGAGGTGGGTTCCAGATCCGGACACATCCTAGGGCCTCTTGGCCTTTGCACATGCTGTTCCTGCCACCTAGAATTCCCTTCGTGCATACCTCCCCTGCACCTGATGACCCTTTATTCATCCTTAAGGCCTGGAGGTGGGAGAGAACGTGGTTCGTAGGAAGAGCTAGGAAGCAGGTAAACTTCTGCATGGTGGGGCAGGGGGCGCTGAGTGTTGAGAAGAAAGAAAGTAGGGCCAGGTCAGTCTCGGAGGGACTTTCGGACCACCTAAGACAGAGTGACAGGCTGATCCTGGACAGGTGGTGGAGGGCCCTGACAGGTGGGTGAGCGTTCCCCTGCTCCATCCTCATCAGAAAAGTGCTTCGTCTAGGATGCATCCTGATCTGGGCAGCCCCAGGGAAGAGGCTTCTTTGTTGGGTTGTAGTGAACCTGGATAGCAGGCCCTGGATATATGCAGACTGGAGACTTGGGTCCCTTTGTTTTTAGCATTAGCTGAGCTATTCCCTCCACTCCCAAACCGCCTTTCCGGGCCGCCATCCCTTACCTGAAATTGGAGGTGTGTGCACATGCAAGTACAGGTCAGGCACTGGGTTTTGTCTCCTGATTGAGTCTTCTTCTCTTGTCCCCAGATCGATGTGTACTTGGCCAAAAGTCTGGCAGAGAAGCTCTATCTGTTTCAGGTAATTATGGGGCTTGAAGGTAAAGGGGTACAAAGCAGTGTTGGTGGAGTGGTGGAGATGCAGTAAGTGGTGGGCTGGGAACTGTGGGAAACCTCAGCCTCGCTTAGAATTCTTAGTGCAGAGGGTGCGATAAGAGGGTTCTCTTTGCTTTTGTGGGCAGGTCAATAGTGGCCTCTCATTTTGAAGATGGAAAACTCAGGCAACTGTGAGCGGCAGGATGGTGTAGTGGTTAGAGCTTGGGCTCTGGGAACAGACCGCCACATGGAGGCCCAGCTCCATCGCAACTAAGCTGTGAGCCCTTGGGCAAGTTCCTTAATCTCTCTGTGCCTCAATTTCCCTATTTGCAAAGTGGTGACGGTAATAATATCTGCCTTGTAGGGTCCCCATGGGGATTAGATGAGTCCATATTAAAGTGCTTAGAACACTGCCTGGCACAGAGCTAGCACTGAGCATGTTGGCCACCATCATTACGGAGGCTCAGAGAGGGGCTTTCTGGAGCAGCGCCGGGGCAGCAGCAGTGAGCCCTCAGTCCTGCCAGCTGTGAGTCCCCTGAGTTGTTATCCCTGCCCCCTCCCCTCTCTCCTGGGCTCGTAGCTGTCCTAGTGGGTCTCAGGCATTGAGCATTGACTGTTTGCAGGCACTGCTTAAAGCACTTTACATATGTTAACTCATTTCATCCCACAAGAACCCATGGTGGTTATTATGAGTGTAACTTTCTAATGGCTTTATTGAGATGTAATTCACACACCATTCCATTCCCCCATTTGGGTGTGTAATGCAGTGGATTTTAGTCTATTCACGGGGTTGTGCAACCTGCACTGCAGTCTATTTTAGGACTTTTTTTTCCTGCGCACCCCTACCTTCCCATTCCCATGTGCAGCCCTAGGCAACCATTAACCTATTTTCTCTCTCTCTGGATTTGCCTAGTCTGGACACTTCGTATAAACGGAATCAAGTAGTATGTGGCCTTTTGCATCTGGCTTGTTTTACTTAGCATAATATTTTCCCAGTTCTCCCATGTTGTAGCATGTATCGGTTCCTCATTCCTTTTTACAGATGTGTAATACTCCATTGTATGGATATATACACACCACTTTTTGTTTATCCATGCATCAGTTGATGGGTATTTGGGTTGTTCCACTTTTTGCCATGAATAATGCTGCTGTAAACATTTCTGTACAAGTGTTTGTATGAACATGTGTTTTCATTTCTCTTGGGTGTGAACCTAGGAGTGGAATTGCTGGGTCATATGGAAACACTGTGTTTACTGTTTTGAGGAATTGACAGGCTGTTCTGCACCACTTTACATTCCCAACAATAACGTTATTGTTTTAAGTATTTTTGTCCCCGTATTGCGTAGGAGAAAATGAGGCACAGGGAGGCTAGTAACTTGTGCAAGGGGCCTGGGACGGGGTGGCAGAAGTGGTGCTCCAAACGTGTGCTAAGAGGCCTGGTGTCCATCCTCTGGGGTCTGCTTTTACAGGCCTTGGGGCTGGAGGCCTGTCCTTTGGGCCTTCTGAACATAGTTCCTTGAGTGACCGCAAAATGATGGTGGAGCTGGTGGTGGTGAAGTGACCCTGGCGTGTTCATGGTGTGCCAGGCCCTGTGCTGGTTTCAGCTCCATTTGCCTCATCCCCTGCTTCCAGCGGCCCTGTGAGGTGAGAATGCTCAGGCTCGGGGAGGTGAGGAGCTGAAATAGCAAGTGGCAGACTTAGGACTAGAACCCAGGCCTCTGTGGTTCCAGAACCTGTGCCCTTCACCACCACCCTTCCCAGCCCAAGATGGGAAGATCACAGAGCTGCCTGGGACCTTGGCCAACCAGAGGCCTCCCGGGCTGTTGTGAGTGAGCTTGTCCCAGCCCAGGCCCCTTTCAAAGGCTCATCCAGACCAGCTGAGCTGCAGGCTGTTCCTGGACCTGCGCTCCAAGGTCCTGCCCCACGCTCCGGCCCGGGAAGCAGGGCAGAGTCACTGTGTTGCAATTTCAGTGAGATTTTAGGAAACACCCATTTCTTTGGGCTGGCATGTAGCTAATCTGAAATGGCCTCCAGGGGAGAGTTTACTTTACGCACTGCTGCCTCCACCAGGCTCATTTCAGTCTGTCACGGTGCCAGCAGCGATGGCCACAGCTTTTTGAGAGTGAGTTCAAACCTTGACCTGTCCATCCACCCAGTAGCATACGTACAATGTGGGAGAAAGAAAGAAGTGCGTCTGTGAGGACTGACGTGGAAAGATGTCCCCAGTGTGTTCAGAGCAAAGAAGCAATTTCAGGGCAGTACGTTAAGGTGTGACATAAAAATAACTTCACGCATGACAACACTCAGGCCCAGAGAGGGCTCTCTGAGCAGGCCAGTGGCAGACCAGCTCCCTTCTCTGCCTTCAACTTTTTATTATGGGAAAGTTCACGTGTAAGCAAAGGAAGAGAGATGAGATAATGAGTTCCCATGTATCCTTCGTCGGGCTTCAGCAGTGAGCAGCACTTTGCCGGTCTTGTTTTTCTTCTTTGCTCCCTTTGGTCTCATTTCACTTGTCCTTGTCTCCCTGGATGGCCTGGTAACTAGCAATTAGACCTTGTACCCTCACTCTTGACTCCCATGGCAGTGCTCTGTGTGTTACTAGAGCCCAAAGGGTGATGTGAGCTGGTGCCTGTTTGGGTTCTTGATGCCTAGGCATGTCTCTTGGAAGTCAAAGACATTGAAAATTGCCCTTTGGAAGACGGCTGGGTGGACCCAATGAGAATGGGATGCAGGTGGAGACCAGCAGAGCCTAGTGGAGCCTCTGATCTCTGCTGGGGGTGGGCCTGGGGGTTGAGGGTGGCTGTGGCGATTCTTGGCTGGAGCCCCTGGAGTGCAGCTCTGGGCAGGATGGACTGACGACTCCCTTCCCCTCCCCAGTACCCTGTGCGCCCAGCCTCGATGACCTACGATGACATTCCGCACCTCTCAGCCAAGATCAAGCCCAAGCAGCAGAAGGTGGGGCTGTCCTCTGATGGAGGTGGGGGGATGGGAGTGGTGATGTGGGTGGGGGCTGATGGAGACCAGGAGACGGGCCTTTTGTGGACTGAAAGCCCAGAGAAGGAGCTGTTGGAGAGTTAGGAGGAGAACCAGTAGCTTAGGAAGGAAGGAGTTCCAGAAGGAAAGAGGTTGGTCATTTCCAGAGGAGGCCAGGGAGGAATGTGGCTGAGGATGAGTTAGAGAATGGGATGCGGGGGAAAGGGCAATGGGAATGACTCGTGTTCACAGGGTAAGGCTGGGGGCCAGTGTGCAGCAGGCCTTGTGATGGGGAAATCTCATGCCTCGCAGGGATGGGGTGATCGGGACCGGGAGGACTGGGGATGTGCCCCCATCTGGGCTGCAGCTCTCGCTCCCGTTGTCACATAGAAGTGCTCTTCAGGGATTGCCCAGTTCTGCTGACTTTTTAAGAGAGGGTGGAGATAAGGATTTTTATGAGAAATCTCTTGATTTTTTAAATCCGGATATAGATCTTTGGGAGTAGAGTTGGGGGACAAACAAAACTACATGAAAACCCCCAAAAAAGCCTTTTCTGTTGGAATTTGGGTTTATGGCCTTTGGCGTGGACTGCAGCCTAGAGACCCTTGGGAAGGGACATGTGTCAGTCCTGCTGCTGAGCAGGGCCAAGACTGGCAGAGACTGGGGTTAGGAGGTGGCCATGGCATCCCCTGGGGACTGTGCCTCAGCGTCCTTATAGCTGGTGGGGGTGCTTGGTGCCTCCAGGTAGAGCTTGAGATGGCCATCGACACCCTGAATCCCAACTATTGCCGCAGCAAAGGGGAGCAGATTGCACTGAATGTGGATGGCGCCTGTGCCGACGAGACCAGCACATATTCCTCGTGAGTTCCCCAGGCCCCAAGGCATCCGAGCTTCGCTGTGTTCAAATGTGAGCCTTCCAAAGGCTTTAAGACACCTAAGCCCTTGTGCCCCCTTGCTCAGCTCCCTACCAGTGTCTCACTTTTGCATGACTGGGCCCACCTCAGACCTTTCCCTCTTGAGATGATGGACCCTTGATGGGAGTGGGAGCTCCCACCCCCTGCCTGTCTCTTGGGCTACAGACAGGCCTTGAATTGTCTCATGTGAGCTTCCCTCTTGAGGTACATTAGCCTCTCCTGTGGCGTTGGTCCCTCGCTGTTGGATTTCATAAAGTGTTTGGGGTGGAGGGGGCTGAGCCTGCCAGGTCCTGGGTCTGGAGCTTCTTTCCCCTTGATGTCTGTTCTCCCTGTGCTCCCAGGAAGCTGATGGACAAGCAGACGTTCTGCTCCTCCCAGACCACCAGTAACACGTCCCGTTACGCTGCTGCGCTCTACAGGCAAGGTACCCGCAGCTGGGCATCCCGGGCACTATGGCTTGTGGAGGCTGACTGGGTGGGAGGGAAGTAGGATAGGGGCTGGGACAGGGAGAGGCAGGCCTTCCCTGGCCTGGTGTCCGGCCCCTTCCTCCCTGAATGCTAGATGCCTGCAGCGGCCAGGCAGGTTGTGGAAATAACAGATTGTCAGAGGGCTCGAATTGGCCATCTTTAGGGACTTCTGGCTAGACACCCTCCGACATGATAGGGATGGGGCTCCAAGGTCATTGTCCTCTTGGGACACAGACACACACACAGAGAATAACTTTTGAGACAGGTGGTGGAATTTTGTTTTAAAGATGAGGTACTCATGACCCAGCAATTCCATTCTTAGACAGCATATCTGCCCAAGAGTGATGAAAACCTGTGTTGACACAAAAACTTTTACACGGATGTTCTTGGCAGCATCATTCATGATGTTGAAAAGATGGAAATGATCCACATGTCCATCAGCGGACGCATGGATGACAGCACGTGGTCTAGCCATGCAGTGGAATGTTATTTGGCCATGTAATGGAATGAAGTACTGATAGATGCTCCAGCGTGGACGAGCCTTGAAAGCAGTGAGCTAAGTGAAAGAAGCCAGACACAAAGGGCCCCGTGTTGTGTGATTCCACTCATATGAAATGTTCAGAATAGGCAAATCCATCAAAACAGAAAGTAGATTAGTGGTTACCAGGGGAGGAGAGTGGAATGGGGAGTGACTGCTCATGGGTACAGGGTTTCTTTTTGGGGTGATGAAAATGTTCTTAAATTGATTGTGGTGCTAGTGGTGCAGCTCTGTGAATATATTAAAATGCATTGAATTGTATGCTTTAAACGGGTGAATTATATCTCAATAAAGCTATGAAGAAGTACAAAGTACTGTAAGTATTTAGAGTTTATAAAGCAATAAATGCAACTAATTTGAACACGTGGGAAACAGAGTAGAAGCGGAAGTAGTGTTGAATAACCATACTCTTCTTTCGTGAACCTGCATCTCAAGGATATAGTTCTTTAAAGCCACATTCCTCGCAGCCAGATCATTCATTTATTTACTCCTTATCTCAAGCATTTGTTCCTCTGGAGTCCACAGAGCCATTTCCACAGAGCCTTAGCATCTGGCTTCTTCTCTTTCAAGCCTCCATTGACTTGATTCAGATCAATTGTCTTTGCACTGCCTCCCAGTGCATGGGTTTGAGTCACAAGGAAAAGTCATGATCTTCGTCAGACTGCACAGACAGTCCTCCACCTGGCTGTGCCAGGGGCCACTTCTTGCGCCACATTTGCCCGAACAGGCTTCTCCGTGGGGCGGGTGGCATTTTGACAGGGAGAGGTGGGAGGATGCGAAGGAGAGGAGGAAATCGGGGTGTGTGTGGGATTAGGGAGGCAGTGAGTGTGGTGTGGCAAAGGCCTGGCGGGGGAGCGAGTAGGGTATGTTTGGTGTGGATGAGTTGCTCTGTGGTCGGAACAAGCACTTGTGGGGCGAGGAGTGGGGACCAGGGTTGGGAGGGCCTTGAGTGTTTACAGGCAGGCCTTGGGGAAATGGCTTTGAGCAGAAGACTTTGGGTTCATGTCCTGATCTGGGTTGTGTGTCTGGTGTGTCCTGTAGGGCCAGGTAGGGTTGGGAATGACCCTTGGCCTAATGGTCCCAAGGCTCTAGGAGTGGGGGCTAGAGCAGAGGTGGGAGGTGGTTTGGCAGTGGGCTGAGGTCTTCAGGGGAGTCCAGGGCCCTTGGTGACTGCCTTGAGCCAAGCTGGGCGGTTCGCCTCACTTCCTAGAGTCAGGTCCAAGCCCTTCTTCCTCTGCCAGGTGAGCTCCACCTGACTCCTTTACATGGCATCCTGCAGCTGCGGCCCAGCTTCTCCTACCTGGATAAGGCAGATGCCAAGCACCGAGAGAGGGAGGCCGCCAATGAGGGTGAGCTATGGACACCCAAAGCCCCTGTCTGTTTGCATCTTGGCGGGATGGCTTGGTCATGAGAAAACGTATTGAAGGGATGGATTATAGGATCCTTCACAGCATCCCTGGCCTCTACCCACCGGATTCCACCTGCACCACCCCCACAGTCTGAACAACCAAAAATCTCTCCATTCATTCCCACATGTCCCCTGGGAAGTAAAAATCATCCCTGACTGAGAATCACTGACTTATGCGGCTACCCTGCTTGAGGCCTCCCTGGTGCATGGGGTTGGGAGTGGGGAGCTGGGGGCTCTACCAGAGGCTGCAAGCAGGGCTTACTTCCTCTTGCAGCGGGAGACTCTTCACAGGACGAGGCAGAAGAAGATGTGAAGCAGATCACGGTGAGCTCTGGCTCCAGGCGGGAGGGTGCGGCCTCGGGGGCAGCAGGACTGGCTTTGTAGCTCAGCTGCCCAGAGACAGCAAGGGACGGGAGGGTCTCCACGGAACGTGGCCTCTGGGTCTGAAATAGATACAGAAAAAGTGTCCATCCTTTAGAGCCTTCTTGCTGGGCCACCTGGAGTGGTAGCCTAACCTCTGCCTGGCCTGAGTTCTCCCAGCTATGAACAGATATCGGCCCTGGGTGTATAGAAGAGATGGAATCCTGGGGCTTGGCTGAAATCGCCTGGGAAGAGGAAGCCAGGGCCCAGGAGGCCCAGTGAGCTCACAGACAGAGTCTGCGCTCTGGAGCCCATGTCTTAACGGAGCCAAAACCTTGTGTTCATTGACCATGTAATTCTATTTTTTCACTGATGCACAGATGAAAAGTTTCTGTCTTCATAGTTACTCCTGTATTTTAAAGATGTTTAAAAGAATATCAACCTTCCATTTATGGTTTATAAAGTTTCCCCTCTTTACGCATATTTAGGTTAAAATGAGCATTTAAAGAAAAATACTGTACAGATAATGATGCAGATGGTACACAAGTGAGGCTGAAGCTGTGGTGAATGTTTGCATATCCTTGTGCAAGGCAAGTGATTGGCAAATATTGACAACGTAGGGGCCGTGGGTGCTCCACCCGTTCTCTCAGTAGCTTGTTGGATGACCTTAGATGCCCTCTTCCCTTTTGGGGGACTCAGTGGCCCTCGTTTAACCAGGTATTCTTAGACCCATGTGCTTTAAAGGCCCTCCCCCCACCCCCATATAGAATCCCAGGATTCTGTAATCCAGCCAATACCCGTGTGCAGATGTCTTTCACAGGAGAGGTGAGTCAGAGCTTGGCTCCATCTGACTTTAAGCAACAGAAACCTAGATCCACCTGGCATGAGCCAAAAATGAAATGTATTGGTCCTGAAAAGTTGAAGGGTAGCTTCAGGTATGGCTGGATTCAGGTGCTCAGGCTCTATCATCAAAACCTGGTTTCTCCATCTCCATCTCCAGGTTCTGTCTTCCTCTTCTGGCCTCTCAGGCAGGGTGTCTGTTCTCAGTGGTACAGAGGATTGTCCCAGCTCCAGGCTCACATCTTCCCAGCTTCCAAGACTCCAGGGAAAAAGAAACTTCTTTCTCATTACTTAAACTAAAGTCCCAGACTGGACTCATTGGCTTGGCCAACCCTGAACCAGCCCCTGTGGCTAAGAGGATTTGGTGCTCAGATTGTCCAGGTCTGAGTCACGTGCCCATTCCTGTAGCTGGGAACGTGTGTGGGGGTGGGAGGCAGGGGGAGGGATGTTAGCTCCTTTGAACTGGAGGGGAACTGGGACTTTCCCAAAGGAAAATGGAGGTGCTGTTACCAGTGGGAATGGAAATGGATTGGGTGCTAGGCAGGCAGAGGCAGGAGATAGCTGCTTCCTGGCCTGCTGGCAGGTCACAGAGAGGGACAGGCTTAGAACTGAACTAAAATGACCTGCGTCAGGAAATGAGAGGGAGGTGGGAGTGGGAAATGCCCCAGATATGGGGTTCTCTGGCCTCCTGGTGGGCACTGGGACAGCAGTCCAGGAAGTGTACCAGGCCTGAAGTCATGACCCCCTCCCAGGTCCGGTTCTCCCGGCCCGAGTCAGAACAGGCCCGCCAACGTCGTGTGCAGTCCTACGAGTTCCTGCAGAAGAAGCATGCCGAAGAGCCCTGGGTCCACCTGCACTACTACGGCCTGAGGGTGAGCTGAGGTGCCCTGGCGGCTGACGCTGGCCCCAGAATGGGGTCCTGGGAGGAAAGCCCAGTGCCCAGGAAGTGTTACAGTGTCCCCTCACTGTCTCTCCTCTAGCTCATCTCACATTCAGTCGTAGCCACTTGGTAATACCCCAGGGAGAGAGGATTAAGTTCTGTGGGCAGTTTCTCCTGCAGTCCACTCTGTGTGCTGCCAAGGGAGTGTGAAATCGAGAAGTGAGTGTTTCCCTGGTTGAGGGTTGCAGCCCCCCAGGGTCCCCCTAAATGTGAGCACCATGCTGGGCTGGTGTGTGGTTACATATTTTTACGCATCGTGGGCCCTGAATGAAACTAGACACTTCATCTGGTGCTCCATGGAGAGTTGGCCATCTGTCACATGGCCGAGTTTGCCGTGTACGTGCCACAGGTGATTTTCATTATACTTAGTTTTCTTCTCGTGTGTTGACTTAGAACCCAATCCTTGAAACTGTGTATTGAGTGAGAAAAGCAGTGGAATGTTAGCTCACAAAGACACCGCGGGCTAGGGCTCCCCAACATTTTTCTGGGGGAGGAGTAACTCCTGATTTCTCTGGAACCAGGATTCCTCAAAGAGATTTGTGTTGACAGAGCCTGAGGCTGGGAGCTAGACTGCCAGAAGCTCTGCTGTTTCCTAGTGTGCGACCTTAGGCAAGTTACCTAACCTTTCTGAGCCTCAGTCCCCTTATCTGTAAAAGGGGAATAGTAATAATAGTACCTAACTAGAGTTGTTTTGAGGATGAGGGGAGTTGGTGGATATACAGCCATTGGAACAGAGCCCAGCATGTGGTAGGTGCTCAGTGAATGCTAGCTGTTATTTTTATCATTGCTCTTGGTGTTGCTCTGTCACGGACAGGGCACCAAGGTGCACATGCTGGGGCTCTGCAGTCATAAAGCCAGGAAGGTCGTGGGTTGAGGCCACATCTCAGAGGTCTTGAGTGCCGAGCTCAGGTTGTTGGATGTGATCCTGTGGCCTGCCTTGGGGCAGGACAGTGGGCGATTTCGAGTGGAAGGTGATGCAGGGGTGAGAACTGTGGATGGCGGAGGGAGCTCCGGGATGGCACAAGGAGCTCTGGGGTGGCACAGGCCTGAGTTGACGGCTGAGGTTCCTCCGCACCCTGCTCCTCCAACAGGACAGCCGCTCTGAGCATGAGCGCCAGTACCTGCTGTGCCAGGGCTCCAGTGGGGTCGAGAACACGGAGCTCGTCAAGTCACCCAGGTGAGATGGGCTGGGCTAGAGTGTTGAATCCTATGGGCTCCTGAGCTTGACACTGGCCCTGGGAGGGTCCCTCTTGGGTGGATCCTCCCTTGGGACTGTCCCTTCTGTAGCATGGGGAGGAACATGGGTAGGGGCCAGGAGGGTGGGTGTAGGAAGAGACGGTCTTCCTTTCTCTGTGAGTTTGTGGGGGTGGCTAGGCCTCTGTCTGCTCCCGCTCCCCCAACCCTCACCTGGGGAGGCTTTAGCCTGGATGCAGCCTGGGTTCGTGGGCAGGGGTGGAGCAGGGATGGAGCCCTGGGAGCTGCTGACTCGCCCTCTCTGCCCTGCAGTGAGTACCTCATGATGCTGATGCCACCCAGCCAGGAGCAGGAGAAGTGAGTAGAGGTGGGCTGGACACCCTCATCCCCCACTCCCACACCAGCCTTCTCTAACCCATCACCTTTGTTTTCAACAGAGACAAACCCGTGGCCCCCAGCAATGTCCTGTCCATGGCCCAGCTGCGCACCCTGCCACTGGCTGATCAGATCAAGATCCTGATGAAGAATGGTGAGTGGCTACCCCCAGCCCTGCAGACCCCAGCCCTACCCCCTCCCGGGGAAATGGAGTCTGGGACAGACTGAAGACCAAGGGGCAAGGCCAGAAGCCCTGCTACCCAGAGCCTGCCCAGCTTTACAGCTCTGCCTTTGTCTGGAAACAACGAACTACAGCATCATGGCGGGCTCCCTCAGGCGGGCTTGGGGCTCCTGTGCTGCCCTCGCCAGACCCCTGCTGTGTTAGCTTGGGCGGGTCGCTGACCTTCCTGAGCCTTAGTTTGTTTCTCTCTAAAAAAGGGACTGACAATGGCTCCTGGGGGCTGAGGTGAGGGTTCACAGAGACAAGGCTTCTGAAGGTCTGGTGCCGAGCCTCGCATGTGCACCTGAGCTGCGTTCACCTCAGTAACGCCATGTTCACTGGCACTGTGGTGCCCTCACCAGGCTCCACATGGTCGGGACTGGTCTCCTTTTCTCAGGACGCTGAGGGCCAGAAGCTTTAGGGGCCTTAGTTGGTGAGTGGCTTGAGCCTTGAACCTCAGGCCCTGGGCTCCTCTTCTGAGATGCCAACTCGAGGGTGCCCCAGGGCCTGAGCAGAGAGGCCTCAGCAGACAGAGCCCCTGCTGTCCCTGGGGCTGCCAGAGTGCCAGGCCGCTGGCCTTGCTGCAGAGGACATTGGGCCTTCCCAGGCCCTCCCTGTGCTCACTTGGGCTCGGGGTCAGGTGGTTGGGAGTGAGCAGAACACAGTGGTTGAGTGCATGGACTGTGGACCCAGAGGCCTGGGTTCAAATCCTGGCTCTGCCACTTATTGGCCACTTATTAGCCAAGTGATCATGGGTGAGTTTCAAAACGTTTCTGGACCTGAGTAGTAAGAGTCTTCCTCATAAGGCACTCCTTGGTCTTCCTTAATGGGTGTTCCCTCTGGGATTCAGCGAGATGCAGGTGCCTGCCCAGACTGCACAGCCAGACAGTGAATGTCAACTGTTACTGCCATGTCATCGTTGTTATTCACATGCTGGGATTGTTATGTGAACTTGAAGCTATACAGACTTGGTGGGGGGTGGGAAGGATCCGGCCCCTTTTCCCTTGTCTGAGGTTTCCCACGTCCTTTTCAGTGAAGGTCATGCCTTTTGCCAACTTGATGAGCCTCCTAGGCCCCTTCATCGACTCTGTGGCTGTTCTGCGTGGCATCCAGAAGGTGGCGATGTTAGTCCAAGGAAACTGGGTGGTGAAGAGGTAAATTGTCCTAGTCCCATAATGGGGCCACTTAATCCACTTAAATTTAATGCAATTACCGGTGTTTGGGGCTTAAATCTACCATAGTGCTTTCTGTTTGTCCTGCCTACATTGTATTTTCTCTTTATTCTTCTCCTGGATTCCTTTTTTATTATTCCATTTTTCCCTGCTAGTTTGGAAGTTAGACTCTCTTGACTCTTTAAGTGATTAGCCTACAGATTTCAGCATACATTCATGACTTACCACAGTTTAATGTTAATTGCTGCTTTTTACTCTCATCCAGGACAATTCAAAGACCTTAGAATATTTCATATTTATCTTTCTCTAAACTCATGTGCTGTCGTATTTCTATATTTTAATTCTATTTTAGACCCCACAAGACATTGTGTTATCCAGTCAGTGTTCTTTATTTTGCTCATCATTCCTCTCTGTATCTCTTAGTTTCTCTCTGGGTTAATTTCCCTCCGCTAAAGAATGCTGTGGTATTTGGCCTGCAGTGATGCGTTCCCTTGCTTTTTGTTTCCTTCACTTTGTTTAAAGGTAAAATGTCTATTTCACCTTTGTTCTTGAAGGATCTTTTTACTGAGAGGAGAATTCTAGGTTGGTTATTTTCCTTCCACACATTGATATAATTTCCTTATATTCTGACTTCCATTGTTTCTGTTGACAAATCCACTGTCTCTCTAATACTTATTCCTTTGAAAGTAGTTTACCTTTGTTTCCCTCTGGCTGCTTTTAAGATTTTCTCTTGGTTTGGTTTCCCCAGTTCACTAAGATGTGTCTAAGTGTGAGTTTCTTTATGTGGATCCTGTTGAGGTTCGTAGGTCTTGAATTTGTGGCTTGATGTTTTGCAGTAGTTTCCCTTCTCCTGTGATGCCTCCACTAGACTGTGTCCCACACCAGACTTCAGTTTCCGGGGGGTAGGGGCTGTGGGTTTTGACTCGCCCTTATATCCCGGGGCTCAGTATAATGCCAGGCACATGGTAGACTGTGGGTACCAACAGTGTGGCTACATTTTTATGCATACTTGGATTATACTAATTTTAAATGGTGTAATATAAAATACATTAATAAAGACTCACTTTTGGGGAAGCATGGTGTAAGATGAATAATCGGTCAAAATGTGAATTGCTCCAAATTTTTAAAAAAAGGTTGCCACAGAGCTGGGGTTAGAGCTCTTTGCCTGGTGCTGCATGTGCCCCGGATGCTGCGCCCCTGGTTAGCATGTCATCTGTCCCTGTGACTTGAAGGGGGCGCCTACTGTCTGCCCCCATGCTTGGGGTCCTGCTGCGAGCATTAATTACTCTCATGCTGCCCTCACTGCCGCACCAAGGCCTGTGGGTAATGGTCCTTCCATACCCTGTCCCTGTGAGGAGATGATGCAAAATTCAGTCTGTTCAGTACATTTATCTTGATTACTTGTTCTGTGCCCTGTGCTCTCGTTCAGACACTGTCCCTGTTCTCAGGAAATTTGTGGGGTGGGGTGAGCACCATTATAGTTGAGCACACTGAGTGCAGAGATCCAGGGCACGGACCACATTCATTCAGCACCTACTTAGTGGCTGCCTTCTCTCCTCATCATTCAGGGTCGAGCTCCGTGTCCACAGCAGCGATGAACAACCTAGGCTAGCTCCCTGTTCCCATGGAGTTTTCACGGGAAGGGGGCGGACATGGAGTTCAACCGTGAGGATGAGGAGTAGTTGGTTGCCAGGTAGGATTGGTTGCCAGGGCAGGAAGAACAAGGGCATCGCAGGCACGGAGTTGCGGGAGGTGGTGTGTGTGTACTCTGGGCTGTGGGGTCTGGGGCTGGACTTGGGCTCAGAATTCTGCTGTGGAGACTCTGGTCAATCTCAGCACCCTGCTCGTTCGCCCCTGGGCCCTGAAGTTTTCTGAACCTTGAGTGCTGGTCCCGTTCTTTCCAAAGGCTTCAACTCCCCCATCCTCAGGGCCTGTCCAGATCCCGGCCCCCACCCCTCTTGCCTCAGCTGCCTCAGCTCACACTGCCCATCTCTTCCTGTTCGGCAGGTGGTGATGGCCTTGTGTATTGCCTCATCACCAGTCTCTCTCGGCATCACACTTCCTTTACACGTGGGACTCACCGTCTTCCAAAGAGTCCTGGGCTCGCCTTGTCTGTCTTTGACACCCTGGCCCCTCCCTGGCCATGCAGTGGGCCTCGGGGCTGGGTCAGTGTGTGAGTAGGGGTTGAGAAGGAGAAAGAGGAAGAATTCTTGAGGGGGAGGTGTGAGGGGGGTGCTTCTTTCCTACATACAGGTTCACAGAGCCAGGCTGCTGAGAGCAGATGGGGCCCAGGCCTGTGGTGACCCATGTTGGAAAGAGGCATGGGCTGGGCTTCTGCTCAGATCCTGAGCAGGACAGGAGGTGGAGGCGGTTGAGGACGGGGACTGACCTGCCACCCCGACTCTCGTTGGCAGTGACATCCTGTACCCCAAGGACTCCTCCAGTCCTCACAGTGGCGTGCCTGCCGAGGTGCTCTGCAGGGGCCGAGACTTTGTTGTAAGTGCCCAGGCTCTGGCTTCGTGGGGCAGGGGCAGGGTGGGTGGACCCAGGGCCAGCACAGCTCCCTGGACCTTGGCCCGGGCAGAGGGCAGGTGTCTGTGGCAGAGAGGGGCCTCTGGACTCTGCCTTTCTCCTCCTTCATCTTGGGATCCTGGTATCTCAGGCTTTGTTAAGAACCTTTGAGTTCCTCAAGCCTGGAGTTGCAGACTGGAGGCCCATAGGTGAATTCTGGCCAAGGAGCATATTTCATTTGGCCTGGGTGGTGTTTTTAAGATGCTGACTTGGTTGTTGATTTTTACACATCAAAATCATGATGCAAACCAGATTTCTAGCTTGTCACGAATAATCCCACAGTCTGGTACTGCTGGGCCCACGTCCCCAGACGGCACCTACTTTGGATGGGACTGATGGTCCCCAGTTCATCACACTCCCAGGCACGTCTGCTACCTGCGTGCATGTTCCCTGCATTGTTGCTGTGGGGTTTTGTAACTCCTGAGCTAGGTCATCTCTCCATCCCATCGCCCACCCTGCCCCTGCCCTTATCGAGAACTAAAGTCCCAGCCGAAGCATCCCTTCCAAGGACTTGAACCCTCAGCTCCTGGGACGTGCACTGCCTCCTCGACCTCGGGAGCATGCATGGAGTTTGCTGGAATCTGTCTCCTTGGAGCTGTCCATGGGGACCTTTGTGCTTGTGTGCAGGCCTGGTCATGCAGGGCACCCCTTAGCTGTTTGAAGAGTGTCTGCATTTTCTCTGTTCCCGATTGGATGGCCCAGCTCCTTTGGGAAGTTAGTGTCTAGGTGCGCATGCAGTCTGTTTTTGTCTCTGGGGATCAGAGTGCAGTATGGATACTTGCTCCCAGGGTCACTTACTCACGTACGCGTGCCTTTCACCTTTCCCTACCTGTTAGCCCTTCTCTGTTTGTGCAGACATTGTCGAATCTGGGGGCTTGGGAGAGAGTCTAGTTGAATCTGAGTTGTAGGGACAGAGGGACAAAGCATCCCCTGCTTAGGGAGCTTTTGGGGTCTAGATGGGCGTGGGGTGGGTCCAGGTGCCCTCTTAGATGAGGTGACTTTGGAGGTCCTTTACAAAGGAGGGGACGGAGGCTCAGAGTTGAAGTGACTGCCCACGACCACACAGCTAGTAAGAGTGAGGGCCAGGATCTAAACCCAGGTCTGCCAGACACCAGGCACCGAACTGCCACTCTGTACCCTCATCCCATGACAATTGCACAGTTTTGGGGACAGTTTTAGGAGCAGCCATCTCTGCCTTCTGGAAACATGCTGCTTTTTCTCCCTCAGATGTGGAAGTTCACGCAGAGCCGGTGGGTGGTAAGGAAAGAGGTGGCAACGGTGACTAAAGTAAGTGATGTTCTTGCTCTGAGGCCTGGGTCTGCTGCTGGAAGGATTGGGGGCTGGCTGTGGGGCTGGTGTGGCTTTCAGGCTGGCCGTGCCTCAGCTTTGCCCGCCTCCTCCCAGCTCAGTGCAGAGGATGTGAAGGACTTTCTGGAGCACATGGCAGTAGTGAGGATCAACAAGGGCTGGGAGTTCATACTGCCTTACGATGGAGAGTTCATCAAGAAGCATCCGGATGTGGTCCAGCGGCAGCACATGCTGTGGACGGGCATCCAGGCCAAGTAAGAGCTTGCTGGGTGGAAAGGGGGGAAGCCAGGTAGAGGAGTACCAGGCCGCCCCCAGCCACCCTGCCTCCCAGGGGGAGCAGTGCCAGGCTGCATCTGGGGCAGTGAAGGCAAATTTGGCCAAATTTGCCAAATTTGGGGCTGCATGGCCCCCCTCCTCCACTCGGGTGAACGTTGCTGATTGATCCCAGAATCTCCCCAGCAAGCCTGCACAGCCACTCCTTGCTGATGAGAGCTGACTTGTGAGGTGAAATCTCAGCATGTCTGTTCTGAGGGGTCGGGGAGGAGGGCTAGATGTGGCAGAGACGAAGAGCACTCAGGAGCAAGAGCCTGGGCTTGTGTGGCCCAAGGCAGGCTAGATTGAGACTGGCTAGGGAAGGGAGGGGTGGGCTGCCACTCCCCACCCGAGTCGTGGGGGCTCTGAATGGACATGGAGCCTGTTTGTTGTGGGGAGAGACCGCAGAGCTCCAAGCAGGCAGCATCTTCAGTGACCAGGATGTCCCAGGGCTTACGGGAGGCATTTCTATTGTGAGGCAGATGATGGGGGACATGGTTTAAAGTTAAAAGCATTTACCCTTCTTTTCAGACTTGAGAAAGTTTATAATCTTGTGAAGGAAACTATGCCAAAGAAGCCAGATGGACAATCAGGTGTGTGAGGGGCATCGGGCTGGGCAGGGCCCTGACCCTGAGCCTGGCTCTGGGAGGGCTGCTTTGCTGGGGCTTGTCGGGCTTGGGCCTGCAGAAGGGTGCGTGGCTCTCACTGCTGGCTGCCTTTCTGTGCCCTCTTCCCCTTCCCCACAGACCTCAGCCGAAGGCTTATCTAGTGGCAAAACCTCAGCCTCTAGGATTGAGGGCTTCTGTACCCCAGGGCTGTGTCTGGGTCCCAGGCCCCTACGACTCTCTCTGCCTCTTGGGTCGGCAGAGGGTGGTGGGACAGGAGCAGCAGTAACCAGCCTGGCTTGGCTCTCTGATGTGGGAATCTGATTTTCGCAGTTCTCTTTCTTCCTCATTGTTGGGGTAGCGAAATCTCTCCTGGGTAAGGTGGGGTGAAAGGCAGGGCTGGGCCATTTGCTTCAGCCCCAGCTGGCCTACGTTTTTCCTGTCACCTTGCTCTGGACAGCAGGACATCCCCTGTCAGGATGAAAGGGATTGTCCGTGGGGCAGAGGGGCCATGGGCCTTTGTCTCAGGCCCTTCTCTGCATGTCTCTCTACCCTCCTGAGCAACCCTGCCCCTCCCCACAGGGCCTGCTGTGCTGGTCTCTGGGGACCAGCGGGTCCAAGTAGCCAAGAGCAAGGCCCAGCAGAACCACGCATTGCTGGAACGGGAGCTGCAACGGAGGAAGGAACAGATCCGGGCATCCACGGTCCTGCCTGGTGTTCGGATCAAGGAGGAGCCCATGAGCGAGGAGGGAGAGGAAGAGGAAGAGCGGGAAGTGGAGGAAGACGAGGAGCCCATGGACACCTCACCCAGTCGTGGCCTCCACAATAGGCTGGCCAACGGGCTGCCTGCCGGGCGGGCAGCAGGCGGGGACAGCTTCAATGGGCACCCGCCGCCAGGCTGCGCCAGCACCCCTGTGGCCCGGGAACTGAGGGCCTTCGTGGAGGCCACCTTTCAGAGACAGTTTGTGCTCACACTGAGCGAACTCAAGCGTCTCTTCAACCTGCACTTGGCCAGCCTGCCCCCTGGCCACACGCTCTTCAGTGGCATCTCGGACCGCATGCTGCAGGACACGGTGCTGGCCGCCGGTTGCAAGCAGATACTGGTGCCTGTAAGTAGAGTCTGCGCCTGCTGGACAGGCGGACAGACGAGGCCGCCCTCAGCCCCTCAGGAGGGCTCTTGGCAGGCAGCACCTTTCCTGGTAGAAGGGAGCTGTGGAAAGAGGTCTGGTCATTCTAGGGTGGCCTGAGCCCTGCGGCTTTGGGGGAAGCAGCTGTTTGGAGGCTGCCTGGGGTGTGGGGACTTGGGAGGACCATGGACCTCGGTTTGAATCTTGGCTCTCCTGTAGTGGCTGGCTGTGTGACCTTGGGCCAGTCAGCTTCTTGGGCTCTGCACCCTCATGGGAAATGAGCCAATGTTCGTTTGTGTCCTAGGACTTTGGTGAGGGCTGGAGACGTCTGACGGCCCTGACCTGTAGCTTGGCACACAGCAGGGCTATGTGCAGGTTCCCCGTCCTTGTTTCAACCCCCCCGCCCCTGCCGACACCTCTCCTTTCTGTCAGCTTTGCCATTTTTCAGGATGATTTCACTTCAAGTATCATTTGATCTTCTTTGCAACTCACAGATGAAGAAACTGAGTTTCAAAGAGGTGAAATGAACTTGTTTAAAGGTCATATACCCAGGAAGTGAGAGAGCTGGAACTCGAACCTCAGTATAGTGGCTCCTAGTCTTAAATCCTTTCTGCTCCAACTGAGATGAGCTTACTCTTTCACCAGAGCCCCCAGCTTGTGCCTGGGTCATAGCGGGCCTCCCTGTCCATAGAGGCTAGCTGACCAGCATGGGCTCTGTGGCCTTTCAGTTAGCATTTCCAGTGGCAGGCCTGCAGGTGGGAGGGTGGGCCACCCACACCCCAGTCCTGTCACTCCGGGCCCCAGAGTGGAGGAAACGTAGGAGCAGAGCGTGTGTTGGAGACCATTTCCTTTAGCTGAGGGTGAAGGGTGCCGGGCTGTGCCTCAGGGAAGCTGTGCTGGTCGTTCTCTCCTCCCAGGCCTTGCCCAGACCTGGCAGAAAACGCGGTGAGGTGGGCTGTGGCTACCTCTTAACAAGGGTGTGTTGACTTTTGCAGTCCAGGGTCAGAAGCACCTGCAGCCTTGGGTGATCTGAGGCGAAGGCCCATTCCCGTGTACGTGAGGGACAGGAACTAGGACAAGAGGCCCTGGATCCCAGGCTGCCTGGGCTGTCCCAGGGGATCTGGCCCTCGTGGCAGGGAATCTCCTTGGTGAGGTCTCCTATGGAAGGTACTGGGGTTTCGGGGGCCCTGCCCTGTTTGGAGCCACCCTGGCCCAACCAGTAAATGGGTCGTTTTTCTGAAAGCTTTCCCTTCTCTGAGCTGGGCCAGGCAAGGGAGGGGCACCTGCCTGGTGTTAGCTAGGCTGTCTTAGGTGGCTGGAGTGGACAGAAGGTGAGGGACATGAAGTGGGCTGCTCTCAGACATCCTACCCCACCCTCAGGACCTGCTCTTGCCATGCTTCTTCCTCTTGGTAGAGCTGGCATCTGTGGTGACCATGGTCCTCTCTGCAGCTCTCTCGTCAACTTCCCTCCCCATGATCGTGACGCGGGGGTCACATCATAGTCTTATCTGAGGTAGAAGAGACCTCAGATCAGTCTAGCCTTGTTTTTTTACACGAGGGAGCTGAGGCCCAGGGAGAACAAGCAGACTCATAAAGACTTGAGTTTAACTCCTGGTTCTGCTACGTATTAGCTATGTGACCATGGACAATAAGTTAACCTCTCTGAACCGGATTTTCTTCATGGAGAGTAGGGTAGTAACACTTCGCTACCTCTCTGGTTTCTAATGATCAGAAGCCCAACTGGGGCTTTAAATATACAGCCATGGTAGCGATCATTACAGTCACTTGTGTTGTGGCGCCAAGACTGCAACTGTGTCTACCGGCCTCCTCCTTCTGTCCCCCCGTCCAGGTACCCGGAGCCTAGGCCACCCTTTTCTGGGTCCAACTTCTGACCCTGCTGGTCCCAGTGGCATGGGTTGCTTAGGAGTCAGGCAGGGCCTCTAACCCATCCTGCCATGGCTGTTGTGGGAAGGGGTTGAAAGGAATCCCCAGGACACCCCTAAAGAGTTACTGGGGTGAGAGCACCTCTCAGGACACATCTGAGGGTTGATATGTAGGGTAGGAGGACACTGGATGTTAAAGCAGAGAGGTGAGCTAATGTCAGGCTAATGGGGAAAATGGAAGAACCCGCCTTATGCAGCGCATCTGTGGGCTTCAGGCTGGGCGTGTCACTCTTTTTCTCTCACCGAAGCCCTCTAAGGTCCTGGTGGGGTGTGACTGGCTGCCTCCCTCTGGGGAGGATGAGGAAACTGATGCAGGTTTGTGGCTGCCCACAGCCCCACAGTTAGCGAGTACCAGGAGCTGGGATTGGAACCCACATTCCCAGAACTGGGCTGGTGCAGACTGGGAGAGGTGAGGGCTCGGGGCAGGTGGATCCATGTGGTAAAGACAAACAGCCAACTCATGCCTGGGCCTTGGTTAGTTTCCCCCACAGACTGCTGCTTCTCCGGATGAGCAGAAGGTGTTCGCCCTCTGGGAGTCTGGAGACATGAGTGATCAGGTGAGGTGACCTTTGCCGCCATCTTCCCCAAGAGCAGGGAGGTGTTCCTCGAGAGGGTAAGGCCTCTGGGGAGAGCCAGAGTGCAGTCATAGCCATTTCAGATTTTCTAGCCACTCCTGGTTTTAAATATTGTGGCTCCATGTCTCTGTATGCTGCCAAAGAGACTGGAACGCACCAACAGTTTGAGCCAAAACCAGTGGTCCCCAAATGCCAGTCTGGGCTAGCTGTGTCAGAATCACCTTTTAAAGAATATAAATTCCCAGGACTGCCCCCAGAGGTTTAGTTCAGTAGGAATGGGGTAGTGTCCTAAATTATTTAAGTTTCTACAAAGCTTTCTAGATTATTCTAATGCTAGCCAGACTTGCAAACCAGTGATGGACTATGTTTCAGGTGGCCAACGGCAGCAGGAATCAAAAGGATTCCTTATCAGATCGCGGTTGCCGGAGTTTTAAGTTAGGGAAATTGGTCATTTTGTCTCTGGTCGAACCCTGGCAGGAAGGGTCACAGGTGTCCAGTGGACAGGATATGAACTAAACCAGCAGTGCTGTGTTTGCGTAATGCAGAGTCGTGGACCCTGAGGTCCAGAAGTTTTCCTTAAATCATGAACTTGCCCAAACTTTAACAATTAAGATTTAATTGCTAAAAACCCCAATCAGTCTATCCTTTTTCAGGCCCTGTTCCTAAGGTGGGGGGAGAGAGGGAGTGAGCAAAAGCCCCTGCTGGGTTCTTTGTCCCCTTTTGCCTCTTAGAAGGGGACTGACTGGCAGGCTGAGCATACAAAAGGGGTGGGGCCTTTCAGTGCCCCCTGGGCCTGTGATGGTGCTGTAGACTGAGAACAGTCTGGAACAGGCCTCCCTGAGCAAGCCTGTGTGCTTGTGGGTTTCCCACTCCTGAAGTACTCTGATAACTAACAAAAAAGTAGTAAGTGCATATTTTTAAAAATCAGACTGAAAGCTTATGGGAAACTGTCTTCTGCCCTGTCTGATCCAAGTCCCACTCCTCAGAAGCAATCACTTTTTAACTACAAGATGCCACCAAAAGAGTTGCCTCTGTTTTTTTTACATATACACAATGTGCTTATACTGCTGTTTGATGTATCAACTTGATAATATGAATGGGCTTCCTGTCGCAGTGCATGAGGATTTAGTTCTCAGCTATATTGGGAGAATGTAGGCAGTTTATTGTGGGGTATACTATGAAGAGCCAAATATCAGTAGTATACTATGATCACATTTCTTTCTTATGTTAGTTCCTATTTCTGCTTGCATGAGTTTCTGAACATCTACGCCAGCAGTCATCCCGTGCTTGAATGATCCCCTGGAGGCCTCTCCAGCGGGACTGGCGCGCTCTGTCTGTTGCTGGCTTGCAGAATCTTGTGTCTTCCTCCTTACTTAATTTTAGCTTCTAAAGGGGCAGAGGAGTTGTCTGCATTCTTTGTCTTAAAATGACTTTTCTGGTCAAGTATTATTGTTTGGGGCTAGAATTATAGAGGGCAAATCATTTTCCCTCTGAATTTAAGATATTTTTCCATTGTAGTCAAGCTTTCAGAGTTGTTGTTCAATGATATTCTGCTTCTCGGTCTTTAAAATTTTTGACCCACATCCTTCCTTTTATCCCAAACGTAAGGTTTTTTTCCTTATTCTGCATATTGTACATCAGTGCAAGTCCAGATGTACCTGGTGTGGGTCATTATTACTAGACAGTTGGGTCATTATGAACTTCTGTGATAGATTTGGTAATTCCTTCACCTGTTTTTTTTCTATTCTTTCAGAATTCTTATGTCATGTTAGATATACTGGATCAGATCTTTTCTGTCTCACTTAACACCTTTTCTCCTTTTGGGAGGATTTCAGCTATCTTCTATTTAACTTTTATTTTGGGACATAATCCTTTTCATGGCATCCTGTTTCACGGATGCAATGTCATGTTAGTATGACAAGACTTTAAGCCACTCACTTCTGTCTTCATGCAGTTTAGATTGTGGCTTTCTCTGCCTGCTAAATCAGTTATCACTCCTGTTTTTATTATGCAAAAGTATGTCTGAACTGCTCATCCTCTGTTGACGCTTCACTGGCTCTTTTGTTTTTGTGGCATATACATTTCTATACTTCATTTTATTGGGGTCTCAAGAGACGACAAATTGGCCGGAAGTCCTGGGCAAGGTCTTTGATCACAGACTGAAGTGGGGAGTTGGGTGGTCCATAGCTTTGGATTTCTTGTTTGGGGATGTTTCTCTTTTAGGTGATTGTTTCCCATAATAACATATTTTTGCTACTAAAGCATCGACAGGTTTTGCTTGAAATCTTTTCCAAAAATTACCGGGTACGCCGGAACATGATCCAGTCTCGGTTGACTCAAGAGTGTGGAGAAGATCTAAGTAAACAGGAGGTGGATAAAGTGCTAAAGGTACATCCATTTTCTGTAGAATAATATCCAGAGGCTCTGGGCTTCTGCTCTGACCACGAGGTTCAGCATGAGGGCGCCCATGACTGGCTCTTCCCGCTCTCAGCTGGAAGCTGACGGTGTGTGGAAAGGGCTCTAGTCTGGTGCCTTTCCTACTGCTGAGTTTAAGTCAGGCTTCCTCCGGACCCCTCGCCAGCCAGTTGGGTCTTGGGCAACTGATAATGATTGGCACTGGTGTAGTGGGTATTTGCAAACGGACTAAACTGGAGTAAGATGTAGGCTCCATTTCCAAAAAATACCACCTAGTGGCTCATCTTCCTCATCCTTTAAAATGACAGGGTCTAGATGAGAGTCCTCACTCCACACCCACTTTGAATCTTGGTACCACTTCCGTGACTTTTGCCATAGCTACACACTAACGATTATACTACTTGCTTTCAGTAGAGACAGTTTTTTAATTTAGTTTAAAAAGGAATATATCATTTGTTTAATATATGAGAATACTTAAGTGTACTATCTCTAATGCTTTTCTGAACTGACTGTGGTACAAATACCATATTTGCAGAAACAGTGGAACACAGAAAGCCAGTGACAGTTTTCTTATATTCTGATCTATTACCATTTATGAAGCACTTTTGTTCTGGTCAGCTTACTAACAGTTTTTGTATTTTGTGTTTATAAAGCACATCCATTTATAGTTCCTCACTCTTAAGATATGTTTGAGGGGAAGAAGGGTGGCCTGAGGCCCAAACACTGAGACCAGGCAGTTACCACAGCATTGTGGTCAGGCAGGTCTTGATTTCCCAGTTGTGTTCTCTTAATCATAAATCATTTTGATATTCTGCACAGAATGTAGCAACTACCTTTCCTGCTCAAGTCTGCCCTTAACATGTTTCTCTCTCTATTCATAGGACTGCTGTGTAAGCTATGGTGGCATGTGGTACCTTAAAGGGACGGTGCAGTCTTGACAATAGTTGCAAACCACTAACCCAGCAAATCCAAGCCCAAGGAAAGAAGGCAGAGCCAGCAGAGGTGGAAGTAGATTCTCGATTGCTTCAGAAGATATGGAGCAAGAGGAACTGACCATCTCGTGGCCTGGGGCACTGCACTGTCCAGTGGACAGAGGGGATCATACTCAGCCAGTGGTAGGATCAGCTTAAGTTACATCGCTCTCTGAAGAGACCAGCTGGGACCTTCTTTCAGTACAATTTGAAAATTCCTGATGTATTTTGCTTATTATTTGGTTTCATTCTCATAATAAAGAGAGTGTATACTGACACGGGCAGGATGATGAAAATCATGGTTTAATATTTTACTTTTCAGTGCCAACAAGGTCTAAGTTATGTTTACAAGATGAAGAAAACTTCAAGGTTTTTAATATTCAAAATGCCTAGAAGCCAGTATTTAGTCTTCGATTATCTATATGCTAAGACTATTGCCAATTTCATTAAACCAAACTGAATTGTTTTACTGTTGGGTTTCTGTGGCCACTTTACCTTTTAAAACAACCTACTTTATGTAGCAGTCTCAACCGTTTACATGAACCATAGCAAAAAATCAGCATCAAATCTCAAGTCCATCTGTTAATGTTTGCATAAGGATGCAAACAAAACGAGGTAAGTATGGAAAAATATAAGTGAGGTTATCACACTTTGATGTAAAAAAATTTATATTTTGTGTATTTTTAAAATAAATGCTATCTCACCTGGTATCATGGTGCTGCTGTCTTCAGATAGTTACAAGAAGGCAACGTCTGTGCTCTCAAAGCCTCGTATGTATGTCAGGGAAGGGAGGACTGTGTCCGTGACATACATAATTTTAAAATTTTCTAGTAGACACATTAAGATAGTAAAAAGAAACTGGTTAAATTTTAATATTTATTTAGCTCAATATGGCTAAAACATCAATATGTAATAAAAAATTTTACATTCTTTTTTAGTACTAAGTTTTCAAGATGTGGTACCTTATACTTACAACACTCAGAATTTGGACTAGCCACAATTTGGGTGCTCGGTTGCCACATGTGGCTAGTGGCGACCTTATTTAACAGTGCAGCCCTGGAGGATTGTGGAAAAAAGGAGTAAGAAGATGGTCTATGTGTGACCATCCCCCTCCCCCACCAACCAAAAAAGAAAAACATCTAATATTTGATAATATACATAAACTACATTATGTTCTTGATTCTAATTGTTAACATACATGAGCCTGAAAAGAGTAAGAAACTTCCGAAATTGGTCTGGAGTATATCCTGCTATCATATAGCTGCATTACAGTGGGGGGAGGGGTCCCTCGTGGTTGGACAGCAGAGACTGAGCACAACCAGAGAGCAGAACTTAGGGGGCTCAGTGGGGAGTCATAGCCTTAAACATTTATACTGATAAAGAGAGAAGTTAAACATTGACTTCAAATAGCTAGGGAACTAACAGGGGGAAATGTGAAAAAAATTGAGGAAGAAATTAAGATATACCAACAATTAACCAATGAAGGAAAATGGCACAAGCCTGAATAGACAG